GGTTCAAGATCTGAGCGCTGCATGACGGGGTGAGCTCCCATCATTCACCCCAACTCCTGCCCACTTAGCAGTTTGAAAGCCTGCAAATGCGAGTAAATAAATGGGTATCACTTTAGTGGGAAAGTAACAGCATTCTGTGCACCTCAGTGTATAGTCATGCTGGCCACCTGATCATGGAAATGTCTTCGGACAGCACTGGCTCCCTCAACTAAGAAACGGAGATGAGCACCGCACCCTAGAGTCAGACACGACTGGATAGGGGAAACCTTTACTTTACCTATTCCTACTTAGAGGGAAATTAGGGATAATTATGCTACGTATCATTTTTCTGTTTAAAAGTTGCATCCTCACTTCTGGTAGGGTATGACCAGTGGTGGGATTCAAATATGTGAACAACCGGTTCTCTGTGTGGATGCCGCTTCCGGAAGTCCATTCTGGGCCTGGACAACAAAAAATTAGCTACCGGTTCTGGCGAAGTGGTGCGAACCGGCTGAATCCCACCACTGGGTATGACTCCGCTTCCACATCTTCCTCAGTTTCCCGCACTCCATTTTTAGAATTGTATCACAAAGATTCCTCCTGTTCTTCAAGTTACACCCTGCTCCACTCCTAAGAATCTTAGCTCAACCTGTCTTTGAACCAACAATAAGACTTCTACAGCCAATACTGTATAGATCCATCTTGTTTCTGCCAGACCTTACATCTCCATCTCCTTTCCTTTCTTTTCAAAGTTTCTTTTGTTTTTAAGGCTCCACCTTTCTCTTCCCTCTGCTACCCTAGCAGAAACACTTACACACATACATACACACACATAACACTACTGACTACAAAGAACATCTGCATTTGGATGCATATGTGACAAGATGCATATGTGACAAGATGTCACAGGCAATTGCAGATTGCCATGATTCAACTTGATCAAGATAAACTTTGCATGCAACTTAATAGGGATGAAGATAGATCTAAAGAATCTGTTGTTAAGTCCGTATAGTTTGAGATCAAAACTGAAAAACTGATTAAAAATGAATCTAGCATGATGCAGTTCAGTAATTTTATCTAGTGTACAGAATATTCCTGCCCAGGTGTGGGGCAGATGTCCTTTTTAAGTAACAATGTTTATTACTTCAACTATGGTGAATTAACCCTATTCCACTGAAGACCCCATTTCTCCATTCCTCAGATGGGAAATGGTACAATTGTAACAAAAACAGACCTCCGTCCACAACATTTTTGTTATATTCCACTGATTGTTCTTTGGAGGAACAATAATTTTAAATTCCTAATTCTTTTTTTTAACCATTGTTTCTATGCTTAATGTCTAGAGCAGGGATCCCCAATCCCCCGGTCTGTGGACCGGCACTGGTCTGCGACATGCCAGCAACTGGGCCATACAAACAAGCAAAGCCCCATCCGCAGTATGCAGGCAGCATGTAGAATCACGCCCCCTCCAGTCCGTGGAAAAACCTTTCTCCACAGAACTGGTCCCTGGTGCTCAAAGGGGGGGGGGGCGCTGATCTAGAGTAACAAAAATTGTTTTCATTTCTTGATGCCTTGCTCAATCATCTATTATAAAACTAAAAGTATTAAGAAGTATCAACTGGAGGGAAGATGACTCCTGGTTTTCCTTTACTTAAATATCAGTTAAAATCTTCTTAACCTAACTAGAATTGATTTTTAGCTGGGCAGTTATTTTGAGGAGCCATAACCAAGCCACCTTTGATTTTGAATAAGTGATATAGATGATGGAAGGATAATGGGGTGTGAAAATAGGTCTTGCTAACAATTCATGCAAATACCTACACAAACTTACAAGAATATATCCATTCTTTTTTTTTTATTATTTTGCAATGGAAATCTTCTGGAATGTTTGATTCTGGAGTGGAGCTTTTTGGTTGAAGCTAGTTCTGAAAAAGGAGGAGGAATCACTGCACGTGGCAACTACTGTGAGTTAATGCACAGTAAATTGTTGATTTTAATGTGATGAAAGAATGCCATCCCCACATTGAAGTTTGCCATAGCTGGGCCATCTGCCCAGGACCAAGCTTGAATTAAGCCTGTGGCTTTTAAAAGTTAATGTCCCAGATGACAGTAGTGCAGAGAGAGTTAATCAAAGCAATTTTGCCCTTTCTGCTATTTATGAAGAACACATTTTGTTAGTTTATCTCAAAAATGGTATTGGAAACAGGGCTACAAACTTTAAAAATATGCAAATAATATATTATTCAAGTCATGTTTTGATGATAAAAATATGCCAAGCCATATTCAGGAAAAAAATTCCACCCTTGATAATTTGAGACTTAAACTCCACACCAGGACATAGTCCTTTCCCCATCTTCTCATTATTTTTCTTTGGCTATTAAATTAATAGCAAATAAAGGATTAAAGGACCAGATGAAGGAGGTAACAGATAGATACCTACATATTTATTTAGTAGAAGCTGTAGAGTCAAAATAGTCACAGATCTGCAGGCTCATCTTGAAGGTTTTTTGTTTCTCTTGAATGTGATGTGGCAGGTCACTTATTTAGGTTTAGAAAAGTATTTGGTAAAGCTTGTGCAGAATGCCTTCCAATGTCGAAATCATGGTGCTGCTGGCAAATCACCATTGTTTACTCTATTAAAACTGATGGAGGATATACTTTAAACTTTTCTTTTAAACTGGTGTAGGAGTGAATTATGATCATTATATTATCAAATCACTGGGTGCCTTGGGTGAATTAATATAGGCTGAAATGTTCTCAGGTATTATGGCTCTAAGCCTAAATTTTTGTTTTCAGCTCATCAGAAAGAATAACATACAGTGTAACAAATTTATAGATCCACATATGAAAATTTAATATCCAGTGTATTTGAATAGGGAATAAGATACGCTTCTAGGAGACCCAGATCTTTCATTCATTCACTACAGTCATTTCTTCAAAAGTAACCTCTTTTTTTTATTCACCAATCCATCAAGTGGCACAATTTAACTACCTCTTTAGACACTTCACTTAGCAAAATCCTTTTGCCATGTCACTCTGAAATGTTTGTGATGGGTGAAGAAAATATAGCACCTTTTTCCCTTTGATTTCATTTCTTTGAAGGACAGAGATTAGAGAGCTTGTTGCCATCACTTCCAACTCTAATTAAAGCCTAGGATGTGTTAACATCTCTATAAATCTTATTGCGTTGATTTTTTTTTCCTTGCAGAAATAGATCTGCACATGAAGACCGAATTACTAGGAGCAGATTATTAGTCTTAAAGCTAAGTTATTGCTCTAACACAGCTTTCCTCAGTCTGAATGTCCTCCAGATCAGTCACAAGTCCCAGAATTCTTCTGCCAGCAACTTGACTAAGGACGGCTGCTCATTTATTAGAATAACCAACCCAAACCTGATTGGTTTCTGCCGTACAACTGAATCTATTTGGCTTTTTGCAAATTACTTTTTTAATCCAGGCAACATGTGTGAGAATAAGTTCTATTTAAAAGCTTCTTTGTAAAGAAGAATACCTTGAATATTTTCATACTTAACTTAGAAGAGAGAAGCCTGTCTTGCTCCACATATTCCTGAATGGTAGCCCCTGACAATTAGCCATGCTTGCTGGAGTGACAGGAATTTTGAGTACAACAACAAAAGGGCAAGGGGTTTCCTATGCTTTGGAAAATATATGACTATATTTGAAGAATACTAGTATCTACATCAGGGGTTCTCAACCTTGGCAACTTTAAGACTTGTGGACTTCAACTCCCAGAATTCCTCAGCCAGCAAAGCTGGCTGAGGAATTCTGGGAGTTGAAGTCCACAAGTCTTAAAGTTGCCAAGGTTGAGAACCCCTGATCTACATGAACTTATAAGAATTTGAAGCATGCTAGTCTGAATTACTGTTTTAAACTGATACTAGTTACTAAATACTTCAAACTACTGTGGGAGTCCCTTCAGATCTTGATTATTTGTCCTTGTTTTGTTTCATGCAAACTATCTCTGTTTCTCCAAAGCTAGAGCAAGGTTTTTCAAGTTGGGTTCCCTGACCTCTAGGGTCCAATGAAAACTTGATGGAGTTCTAGGAGAGCAAGGAAAAAAATGTCAAGTGACTTTAATGCATGAATAAACTAATCATTACAAATGCATGCTTTGCCTCATTTTCAGTTTTAGAACTTTGCCTCTTGATCAAGGGGATCTGAGATTTTTTTTTAACTAACAGATTTTGTGGCCTGAAAAAAAAAACCTGTGGTAAAATCTTAAATTTCAAGAGTCTGTAGCGCGTACTGAATAATAAATTCTCATTGAGCTTGTGGCCTGGGAGTTGTGCTTACTGGGAATTTGCAAATTTGGAAATTCTAGGGGTGGTGAGGAAATCAAGCAAGAGATGGACTATATGGGCTTCTGATTACCATAGAAGAGAATGGGTCAGGCAGGAGAACAGTCCAAATGCCCTGTATATAATCTTTTCACCCTTCACTTTTCACAGTGATACTTCTTCAGAGGATTGAAAAATTAGTCTCCCTTTTTTAAGGCATTGTTTTGCATTAACAGCGAAGGCTTAGGATACTTTCAAATGAATAGTATTGATAAGTTTGAGCTTGGGCCCCTTTCAGATTGGTTAGAACAACTTTGGGACAATTTTTCTTCAAGCCCAAGTAGGGTGTTTTGAACTCAGACATTTTGAATTTGAAACCCTTTGAGCACACATAAGCAATAATCACTCTTACCTGCTTTACGATATGGTTCTGATTTTGTACATAACTCATTATTCGTTCTGAAAAGTCTTGAGTCAAGCCTCAAGTAAAACTATTTTAAGATGTATGAGCAGTGGAAATTGTCTACTTGCATTATACTAGGGCAACACTTCAGAATGCTGAGCGTTAGTAAAGGATGGTTGCTAAAGTTTTATACTAAATCTAATTGTATTCATCTTACTATCATGAAATAAATGCTTCCTTTGTTTTGCTGTTCCTAAAGAAATCCCACATGAATGTCATTTTCTTGAAAGAAGAAATAGCTTGGAGTCTTCTCTTCTTTAGGGCCAAGTTACCCGTGCACAGGAGGCTGAGGAGAATTACATTATCAAGCGGGAGCTGGCAGTGGTGAAACAACAATGCTGTTCTGCCACAGAGAATTTGCAGAAGGCACGAAGCACGATTCAGCAACTTCAGGATCAACAGGTAAATAAGAGTGGAAGATATAAAAGTGATAAGGGGATGTATGATGAAGGGGGGGGGTACATAGAGGTGAAATTACATGCAAGTGTTCAGTTGGTTAAATCACAGGGTTTTAAAATTCATGTGACTTGTTTTGTGGGGGAAGCCTGGAACTGGCAAGTCTAGAGATTACCATTCCCATGGCAATTTGTTAGAATAGGCCAGTGATGGCGAACCTTTTAGAGACCGAGTGCCCAAACTGCAACCCAAAACCCACTTATGCATCGTCGGGTGCCAGGTGGGTGTGGTCCATTGGCTGGGCGTGGCCCATTGGGTGGGCGTGGCTGCAGTGGTAACGGCAGACTGGGTGGGACTAAAAAGTTCAATCAGTTCCAACTTTGCAAGATCTTTTTTTCCCCGCGAGAAGTTGAAATTGACTGATTGATTGAACCTTTTTTTTTCTTTGCACATGGCGGCGGAGGCCTAAAACGAAAAGGTTTTATAAAACCCAGCTGAAGGTCTAGGACTGGGGTGGCGGCGTGTGTGCCCACAGAGAGGGCTCTGAGTGCCACCTCTGGCACCCATGCCATAGGTTCGTCACCACTGGAATAGGCTGTACAAAGCTATATATTTTACTGGGTTGGTTTTTGTTGTTGATTTTTTCTTGAGACCAGTCATTCCAGTGCAAAGCCTTCTTTTGCTCTTTTCCCAGTATTAGATTTAAGGAAGATTGTATCTACTCCGATTCTTGCTTGAATATCTACCCTACTTTAGCCTTTTCACCAACCTGGTGCATCTGAATGTGTTGAATTACAAAATAAACTCATAACCCCAGCTTTTATGTCCATTAGAGATCTTGGCTGCTAATGTGACTTATTGTATGAAACATCTGGAGAGCTCCAGATTGAGAAGGTCCCATCTAGAAAAAGAATTACACTTGGCTATTCCTAATGATTATAACCCATGATTGAAGGCCAAATTTGAGAGTTCTGTGCATAGTCTCCCGAAATGAAAAAAGGAACAACTGAACTGTAATCCATTAGGAGGCCATGGCTTTTATAGAGCAGAGTAATGTTTATCCTTTTTTTTCTATGGACTACAGTTTAGTTTGCAGTCAATGTCATCCTCTGTGTACTGTTTTTTTTTTTCTTTCAAAAAGATAGAGCAACTAAAAAAGGGCAGGGAGATATTTTGTTTAGAAGAATGGCTTTCAGGAAAAGCCTTAACCATCTCTTTCCTTTGCTCCTCTTATTGACATCCCTTTAAAATAACCCATTCAGCGAATTTATAAGTTGCCTATCTTCCAACTTATGTGTTTCTGGCTTCTAGTTGTAGAAATTAGAGTGAATTGATTACAATAAAAATGGTAGGAATAGAGACAGCAGTCAGTCATTCGTGGTTTCCATTGATTTACTAACGTTTCTTTTACTCTGTAGGGAAATCCCCGCTACTCTGAGGAATTTGTGAGCCACCTGGAAACAGAACTGGAGCAATCCCGCTTGAGGGAATCTGAGACTCTGAGCGCTCTTAAAGAGATGCAGGATAAAGTCCTGGACATGGAAAAGGTATCTTTCCTTTCAAAGCCTGATACAGAAGCACACAAGTGTTAGAAAGTAACCAGAGCAGGATCCCAGATAGCGATGTTTGAATTAGCTGAAGTCTAAGAATAGATGCTTTGATAGAGACTTCTCTGCATCGTGAATTTTGATGAAGATTGCAACAAAAGATTGAATTTATACGTTCCCACAAGTGAAAATTCCAGGACTGCTTTTTCTTCTTCTTCACTGTTGTATTAGGAGTATCCCCTTTTATTCTTTGTGGTAACATCTTTACCTGTAACAAATAACAATTTTTGAAGTCATGTATAATTACACTCTATTCAGGAGAATGTGGAAAGATCAACAGTCTTCTTGTTTTAATAAATTATTGGCTATAGTCTTCTCAAGATTTTGTATTGGGAAGGCAAACAAGGACTACCTCTGGGTGCAGATCTGACATCACAGGTCCTTTGGTAGAATGCCTAGCACCATCTTCAACCATTCTATGCTACTGGACAGTTCTTGGACCCAAAGCAGCTGGCGCTGCTGGGAGGAAATATGGAGGAAGGAGGGGCAGACTTGCTTGAGCTGCACCTGTTAGGGAGACCTAACAGGCCAAAGGCTCTTCAGTCTGTGCTGTGGCATACTGAAAGCGGTATATAGTGCTCATACTTAAGCCATCTCCTTTCCAGAGAAACAGCTTGCTTCCAGATGAAAACAATGTGGCCCGTCTACAGGAGGAACTGAAGGGTATGAAGTTGCGGGAGTCTGAGGCAATGAAATCCTTGAGAGAACTGCAACACCAAGTGAAGGAGCTCAATGACAATTGGCAGGTACGCTACATTTAAAGGATGCCATACCTGACAGCATCTCACTTGTTAGGCCTTGTTGCCTTGGTTCATGGTTTTAACGTAAATCTTTGTATAGAAGGCCACAAGGACTGATCCTGTAAGTTCTTTGGATCTTTCAGCAGTATCAAATGGGTTAATAAGAAGCACCTTTGGGGTTGCAGAGGTTTGGACAATCACTAGATGGCAATTAAGAAATCTTGTATCTCTTTGCTGCCATCTACTGGCCATCAGGGTTTTGTAGCCTAGATTTGGGAGATCCAGGAGCTTAATAAAATCTGGTTTGATGCATAAATCACTTTAAGGAACAAGATCCTAAATGTTTGCTAAAAGAGTAATATGTTTATGGTTACATGTGAGAGAACCTAGCTGTAGTTCAACGTATAGCACATAATGTTTATGTAGACTGTTCCCAATTTCTTCATATAGGATTGAAAAGATCTCTCTGAGATCTTGGAGGCAAACAGCTTGTCAGTGTACATAGTGGTAACTAACTGGATCAACAGATATTAAGCATGTGTTGAGGAAACTGGTGTTCTGATTTTTTTAAAGATTAACTACAAGTAGTCCTTGGATTATGACAGTAATTGGGTTTGGAATTTCCATCGCTAAGCAAAGCAGTTGTAAAGCACAATGGCATGTGACGGTATGATTTAGCAGCAGAAATCCCAGCAATCCCCATTGCCATCATTAACCCAACCTCATCAGGCGAGGTCCCATCCTAATCCAAGCCATTCCTAACTTGGTCCCTCCCAGCCCTGAGCCTCAGTAAGGTAAGGGACTGCCTCCTCTTGAATTCCTCCCACTTGTCTATCTCCCTTCCCCCCAATCTCTGCCTTTTGGCTGCTTTGCACAGTAGCACTCCTCAGCAGCAGTAGTGGGCACTGGGAGTAAAGTGGAAGTCCAGAGCTTTCAGCAATCTCAGTCAGCCACCACAGTCACATGGCTGCTTTCACCGCTGCTGAGAACTGCCACCTCACACCTTGTGCCGTGGTCAGCCATCCCAGTGCTGCAGCACAAATCCCCAGCTACACTGTTTTTCTGTTGACCATGCAAACCCCAGCTGACCTTTGCCATCTTCCTCCTCCCGCTGCTGTTGAGGTGCCCCCAGCCTGGCCCTATTGGAGACAGCTGCTGGCCGTACCAGGCCTTCTTCCCAAGGCTGCTCCAAATCATATGCTTGCCTTCTCAGCAAGGTTGTCAACGATGCTTCTGAGACCTTCCAAAAGCTCGCGAGATGGCCTCTCCTGCCCCTCTCCGAATTGTACATGGCATTCTCACAATNGCTTTAGGACCCAGGCGTAAGTACCATTTATTCAACACTGCCATAACTTCAAATGGTCACTAAACAAATTGTTGTTAAGCAAGGACTATCTGTACAAAGTTAGGACAATCTGCTTTAAACATATTGTAATAGTGCTCTGTATATGCCATAAGCAACATGCAGCTCATAAAAAGCTACAAAGACCAGATAATATGAAAAGGTGTCATAAGCTGCCATTCAGATGCAAAATAAGCATAGAACTGCTTTCTGTTGTGCTCATACTCAGCCTTGGTACCCCTGGATCAAATATGCCTGTGCCTAGATTTGCAGATAATTATAATAATAATAATAATGATAAAGTTGGAAGGGACCTTGGAGGTCATCTAGTCCAACCCCCTGCTCAGGCAGGAAACCCTATACCATTTTGGACAAATGGCTGTCCAGTTTCTTCTTAAAAACTTCCAGTGTTGGTGCATTCACCGCTTCTGGAGGCAGGTTGTTCCACTGATTAATTGTTCTAACTGTCAGGAAGTTTCTCCTTAGTTCTAGGTTGCTTCTCTCCTTGCTTAGTTTCCACCCATTGCTTCTTGTCCTGCCTCCAGGCGCTTTGGAAAATAGCTTGACTCCCTCTTCTTTGTGGCAGCCCCTGAGATATTGGAACACTGCTATCATGTCCCCCCTCGTCCTTCTCTTTGTTAAACTAGACATACCCAATTCCAGCAACCGTTTCTTATATGTTTTAGCCTCCAGTCCCCTAATCATCTTTGTTGCTCTTCTCTGTACTCTTTCTAGAGTCTCAACATCTTTTTTACATCGTGGTGACCAAAACTGGATGCAGCATTCCAAGTGTGGCCTTACCAAGGCATTGTAAAGTGGTATTAACACTTCACGTGATCTTGATTCTCTCCCTCTGTTAATGCAGCCCAGCACTGTTGTTTGGTTCCCCTTTCCTTAGGCCCATCTGAGCCGGACCGGAGGGCGGTGGAAGGACTCTCCACGAAAGAACACGATGAACGACCTCCAAGATGAACTGATGAATCTCCGTCTGCGTGAGACACAGGCCCAGGGTGAGGTCCGGGAGTTGCGTCAAAGAGTGGTAGAGCTTGAAACTCAGGTGAGGGTGTGACAATTGTCATAGTTCTCCTCTCCATTAAGAGTATTTCTAAATCTGGACAGTTAAGATCTTTTCATCTGTAATGTCTTTTTTCCTAACTGATCTATAGCAATCCTTCCGACTTTTTTTTTAACGTGCAAACAGTTTTATATTGAATGTGAAAGTGCAAAGTTTCGCATTTCAAGCAAAGGAATATGCTTGAATAGAGGCGTGTGTATGAGTGTGTAACAAATTCAATGATGTTGTTATTTATTTTTCCATCAACAATAACCCTGTGAGATGGGTTGGGTTGAGAGAGAGTGTGACTGGCCCAGCCAGCTTTCATGCCTAGGGTGGAGCTAGAACTCACAGTTTCCTAGTTTCTAGACCAGCACCTTAACTATTACACTAAACTGGCTCTATAAGTGTCAATCAATTGCCCCCTAATTCTTCTTTTCTAGGATCAGATTCACAGCAACCTCCTCAATCGGATGGAACAGGAGTGCTCTGGGCTGCATGAAAAGGTCCAGTACCTCACTGCCCAAAACAAAGGGTTGCAGACGCAGTTGAGTGAGACCAAGCGCAAGCATGCTGAATCAGAGTGCAAGGTGAGTTTTTGCCCATTCAGCGGTGCAAGGCATGTGACTTGCCCCGCAGAAAACAAGTCAGGCTTGCTCAATTGCTTCTCAAAGGTAAGGAGCTTCAAACAGTTTTCTGAATTGTAAAACTCAACTTGTTTTTAAGCTTTGGGAGGTCGGAATTACCCGGCACTAGGGCACCACAGTGTAGCAAATCTTCTTACTGTCAAAATGGCTGAAATCCTGACTTTCGGGTAATTTAGCGACTCAGCATGGGTTTAATGGCATCTGTAGCTGCCATGAGGAATTCTAGGAGCTCGGACTTTTTTTTTTTTTTCCTGTTCTGCATATCATGCAGATTTTCTTGCTTGCAGTCTAATGGGCTTCTGCCATTGGTTTGTATTATCTGTTACAGAGCAAAGAAGAAGTTATGGCTGTTCGCCTGAGAGAAGCTGATAGCATGGCTGCTGTTGCAGAGATGCGGCAGAGGGTTGCTGAACTGGAAATCCAGGTTAGGGGAGAGTAACCAGCAGGTGTCCTTTTCAGCCACAAGTGAAACAAAGGTCTACAGCAAGTTGCAGCTGGAAAAGAAAAAAAAAAGCAAATGCTCTTGCATTAAGCTAGTGAAGGATCTCCTGAACCAACTTTTCTGTGTGATTGTTAAAGAATCTGACAATACACGTTTAGACTACAGGAAAGACTGAGAGGTATCAGATACCCGAAGAGTGGTTCTTTTCCTTTGCTAGAGTTCTTTGAACTTGTTGGCTAAAAAGTAATTTGCCAGTGGATCCTGCACTGGGAAGCAGGAAAAACAGCGGACTATATGGTCTCTAAAATCCCTTCCAGAATGGTTTAGTTATTTATGCAGGTCGTGAAATAATATATGGGCTGGGCTAAGGTCTGAAGCAGTTGTGCCCTCTCCTCCAAGCAGTTGTCATTGTTATCCCTCTCTTTTCACCTGCAGCGAGAAGAAGGAATGATCCAAGGTCAACTCAACAATTCTGATGCCTCCCAATACATCCGTGAACTCAAGGAGCAGATTGATGAACTCAAGGCAGAGGTAAGCCCAACCTAGTGGGAGAAAGCAGACAAAACCATGGAGGGCTTTTTGATGGACTGTGTTATCATCCTTTAGTAAGTCACAGCTATTGTTTCTACACAAAATACAGACGCTATGAGCAATGCAACTATGAATTCTCTTGGTCAGCTCCTAATACATATATATATATTAATCAAGTAGTCAGTATCAGTTTGAATTATATTAGTACAGTAGTGGCCAGACTTTGTCAGTTTTTGTTGAAAAAGAAACCCCGCATAAACAAACCCCTTCTTTCACTTGTGACTGAAAATGTAATGTTATAAGACCCAAAGTTCAAAGGCCCCATGTCACATGATTTAAAAATCTGTTCTGACTTATGAATCTATCTCTTATAGGTTTGTAAAATAATCTAGAGAGAAACGAATTTTCTTTTAAGAGTAGGTTGCTACTCTGACCCTTTTATTCTTGCAATGCCTTGCTAGTCCAAGAAAAAGGAGGATATCTGTATATAACCTCACACTTCTAGTAAGGCTTAAGTCTTAAGCCAGGACGTAGCTTCTGTTACATCATAGCAGGGTTAGGGTTAGGGTTTGTCCACTATAGATTATTTTTTCTAAATCCAAGTTATACCAAGTTACACCAAGTTATACCAGGGCTTAAGTGGGTTTCATAGTGCTGAATGCCAAACCATCATGGCTGCCCCAGTGTCTTCTTTTTTCCTCTCCTGCAGATTCGGCTAATGAAAGGACAGAAGCCTTTTGAGGACTCTATGGGTTTTGACGGTATACATATTGTGAGTCATCTGGCAGTGGACGATGACTCGCTACATTCTTCAGATGAGGAATTGCTGACCAGCCCTATGGTAGTGGGTGCCCTGCAGGATGTTTTGTATCCACTGTCTCCTCACAACACACACTTTCTGCACGGGGCTGAAAGCTCTGGTAAGGAGAGTGATGGCACCACAGATAGCGACCCAGATGACCCTGCCTCTGCCGCTGAGGCCAATGGCGAGATCATCTTTGCAGAGGCCCTGGGCAAATGAGGAGTGATGCTGCCATCCCAGCTCCATCTGGAGTCAGTTGATCCACTGGCCACGCTGTACTGAGGAATCAGGGATCAGCTGTTACTGAGTCTTCGGCCCAGTGAGTACCATGGCTCAGAGGTGGCGTGGAGTGCCACGCGTGAACAGTATGGATTGTTATCAGCACTGCCTTTTTTCAGCTTTGCCACTGGGAGTTAAAATCCAAATCCAGGTATTGGCCTCATCCATGTCCTGCTTTCCACACTTTTTTTTCCTTCTCAACACAAAGATTTGCACAGGCGAGGACTGTGAAGAGGCAGCAGAAGCAGTCAATCCACCGATTCCCTAAAATGCTGCCCAGCTGTATTCCGTCTCTGTCTCCTGGCTGTGCTTGGAGAAGGGAAAGGGGTTGGTCTTCCCTTTGTTTATATTTGTCTCCTAGCATGCTGCTCTGCATCCAGAGGAGAAAATGGAGTGCCTGCATACTTGTTTGTAATTTTCCACTCTGGAAAAGGACAGGAAGGAGAAATGAGCTTCTGAAGAGGTGATTTGTTCTAATGAGGGAGATAATATTTTTTGTTCCTGTTTGTTATTTATTTTTAGAGTGCAATTACTAATCCAGCTCTTTGAGAAGTTCAGTGATTTTGAGGGTTTTTATATGGAGGAGCCAAAACTGCTTCTGTATTTAATCATACAACATTTTCTATTTAATTATGTAAAGGGATATTCTTTACTAACGCCACTTTTATATCATATTTTCAAACTCTGTTTTTTTGCAGCAGTCTGGCTCAGTGCCTAATTGGGTTCAGACAGGAAGACCGTCCATCAGTGCATGTGCACACATGCATGTGCATGCACACAAACACACATAATTTGGGGGGGGGGGGTAAGCTGTTCCTTGATTCATGAGATCAGTATTAATTGCTAAACTTTCAGGCAGCTGAGAATTTGACAAAGTGAACTGTGTGGGCAAGAGAGGAATTACTATGGAATGTCCAGATAATTGATTCTGCCAAGATAACAAAAAAGGAAGGCCCTTGAGGGCTCAACATTGAATTACATATCAAGTAAAAATGAGATTTCTAATATTATGTTTGCCTCCAAACATTATTAGGTAGGGATAGCAAGGGAGAACCAACAGGAAAGTTATGCTTAACCCTTGTGTGTTTACTGATGATTCCATGCAAAAGCTCCTCAGTTCCTTTAAGCATTGGGAGCATTTAGTTGTATAAAATGAAGTTCTGCTCCAAAGAGCAATTCCTTGCAAAAACAAGCCTCTTCTTGAAGTGAGTGAGTGTGTGTGTGTGTGTTTATGGGGGAGGTTGGGGGCAAGGCAAGGCAGGGTAGAGAAAAGAACATGATTTCTTAACAGAATTAGCTTCTGACAGGGAAAGGATTGCTGACAGCCCACTTAAATGACAGTTGGCAAAGAAAAAACCCATAATTTATGCAGGGATTCTGATGAAGGGTTTGAATAAAACTGCAAAGCGATGCGTGTTTCAGTTGGAAGTACTACAGTCATTGCCATGCTATTTGTAATTCAGTTCATACTCGGTTTGCTGAAAAAAGGCTTGTTTTTCCACAAAGGGGGAGTGGGCATCAGGAATTGAGAAACATCAGTGGAGTATTATTTAGGAGCACTGTATGTTTTGGGAAGCTACAAATAATGCTGCCATTGGGACCTCCTCTGCAATTTTTGAAGTATAGAACTGAAGGTGGTGGTTTAATTTTTGTCCCCTTTCCTTAACAGAGTCCATATTTAAGAGTATTAAAGCTACTCTGACACAGCATGCTTTTGGGGGATTGGTGCAGCACCTGGATATATTACTGCAAGTAAGATTCCAGACTCTCCCCCCCCCCAAAAAAAAAACAAAAAAAGCTAGGGCAGGGCAGAAAATTCCTTTGAAAGAAAGACATGCAGTGCTGTTTCTTCCCAATTAAATTAAATTGTGCGGGTTTTGAAATACTTAGCATTGCAAGGTGTCTGAATAAAGGTATTATTGCAAATGATGACGTTGCAGCTGAGGATACAGATCACCTGACACTAGAAGCTGGAAAGGGTTTCAGAGAAGGTCTATGAAAGAGGCTGGGCAAGTGCAGAACGTGGAAGGTGTAAGGCTTTGACCCTGCCAAGAAGGTAGCCCATTTTGTTAAGCAAGATCTCTGGGTTGTCTGCCATTGACTTAACAGGTTTTGGAACTGGGGAATGAAATATTCCTCCTCTCAGGGAAGGGGGCCCATGTCTTGCTATGGATGCGTTTTCTTCATCCCCTGCTCAATTTTCTTTCCTTTCTGATCTGTAGTAAATCAATCTGCCTTTTAAGTTTACTTAAAATTGTGAAACTTGTAACTTTATTAGTAGCTGAACATGTTCTGTATTGGACACATAGGCCTCTCTTTTTGGAAGTGTTCTCCACGACCCCTTCCTTGGCATGGGATTGGAAGGGATTGGTAAGGGAGAAGCTGCTTGGGGTTTTTCCAAGGGCTGTTTTAGCACCAAATTAGTGAGTGTAAACCAGCATTTGTGAAATGGGAAACACACCTGCAACTGCCTAGCCACTTATCATGTGGCTGGCCCTGAACTAGTGAACTGAAATAAACACACACACACACAAGTACAGATAAGTATTTATATAGTATGCCTAGGGAAAGGCACCAGTTTGGCATAATCTTGCATATTTTATATATATATACATTTTATACACATCCACACACATCCACGCTATACTGTTAATACTAAAATTTTGTAATTTATCCTTTCATTATTCGGTCCCACATAGAGGTAATTGGAATAACACATGATTCCTGAGGAGTTCAGTTTGCATTGTTGTTTTGATCTGCTTGCATCAGTCTGAAGCTCTGCTTCCCCCCCCCTAGCAGTGAGCACATGTTTGCAGTGTTGGATGGCTTGTGAAACTGTTTGCCAGTTGTGCATAATACTTAGCAATTGTGGATATTTGTTTTGTGTAGTGCTATCTGAATGCTTACTGCCTCCAAAATTACAAGTTAGGAAGACCTTTAGCTGATTTTTTTTTTTTTTTTAAATGAAGTAAATCCATTGACTTTAGTCTTTTGCAATTGCACTGGAGTAAATGAAAGGAGATGGTTTGAACCATATCCATGTTTTTTTTCAACTTGGTTCAAGATGGTTATTGTTAAAGTTAGACTTGATTCATTTGGCTGATTTATCCTTTAAAATTCATTATGGCACAACCCTGATTAAAGTAAAGACTGCTAACCTATTCTATACAAATTATTCACGGTACTGCAGCTTTTTTTCCAGTGTTTAGATCACAGCTGTAGAGCCTTATAATACAGTTCATTAAATGATGCCAAAACTCTGACTTCCCACTCTTTACTGCTTCTACTGTATAGAAGCTTGAAGAAAATGATAATTTTCTTTTTCTTCCATGCTAGTAAATACTAGGAATACAGGATATATTAGAAGTGTTTTGGTTTTCTCAGAGATCCATGCAACATCAGAGCATAAGAGTTGAATCCTCCTCTTGCAGATTCCCAGGAGATAATATAGTATCCTTTTGGAGCTCTGGATAATAAACATAAAACCATGTGATAAGTATTATTATATCAAATAACTTGCAATGAAACCTGTAGGACAGGGATGTCAAACTGCCGGCCCATGGACCGGTTTCATCGTACCGAAGCAGCGCCCACCCCATTGCCGGCAATGCAAATAGAGTCACGATATGTCGCGACACGTCACGTGACGTGGCGAGTTTGACACCCGTGCTGTAGAAAATATAAGTATTTGGAGCAAGAGATCGGCTAATTTCATCACAGCAAAGTGCAGGAAACTCACCTGTTCAAGTTGCATAATGTGTTGTTTTTGGTTGAGTTTGGTTAGATACCAAATATCATGAATAAACCACAGTATAGTGAATTTACATTAGGTCATGAAAAACATACATAGCCTCAATTTTAGTGGAACAAATTTGATTTACCAAGTGAAGTATGTGTCTAGTTCTTCATAAAGAATCCATTTACATCAACCGTCAGCCCACCCCATTCCTCTGCTGAATATAAATTATAATATCTCCAAGGAACTTTATATTTTCTTTTTGAAAGTACAGGCCTATTGAAAACTATCCATCCATAGCAAGTGCATTAGAAGAAAAGTGTAGCCAGCCAATCTTGGTAACCAAAAATCAAACACTTTTTATCTGTATTTTCCAGCAAAAGTAACTGCCTAATTTGGGGCAGGTTGTATTTGTAGGAACTTTTCTGAACAAAGTTGAGTTTCCAAGCCAAGCTATTTGTGAGTCAGTCAATTGCTTCTTTTAAAATTTTCTATTTCCCTTAACATGAAGTATTACAAACAAAATTTAAAGGATGAAGCCAGTTCTTAATGCGGTGGTTCTTGTGTGCTTTCCTCCCTTGCATTTCCTTTTGTGGCTAGTCTTCAAGCCTTTATTTTTTTTCCCAGTGAAGGTGCCAAACCCACTCAGTCCTTTGGCATATGGGGCGGCCATATATATGTATATATATTTATATAAAATAAATACATTTTCAGCAGAACCTCAGCGAGGGAGGAAGCAAAATACCACTTTGAGGTGCATTTTTGTTTCTGTCATGAGTTTCCACAGGTATCTCTTCTCTTACCATATCTTCCATGGCCCACCGTGTACATCCCTCCCCCAAGTATTTATATGAACACAAAATTATAAGGAATCTTGTGGCAGGCCTCACATTCTTTTGCTAAGAAAGATGACCTGCTTATAAAGTAATTTAACACAGCTAGTATTTTAAAGCAGACTGTTACATTGCCCCAGCAGATGCTTTCGGACAGGCGAGGCTGAAGATGGTGCTTGTGGTAGCTACCAGCATACTTCAATTTGCACTTTCATAGGGTTTTTTTTTATATATAGATTTTCTTCTACACAGAAGGAAATCAATGTGGTGCTCTGTTAGGAACTGGGATTGGGATTATTCTGTTCTCCCCCCCAGGATTGACACTAGAATTTGAATTACTCACTTGCTTGAATGAATCTCTTTTGGGTGCCAGCGCCCCATCCTGTTTAAGCAGGATGCATTGAATTTACTTAGCTATTCTAATAACTTTCCTAACTTTGGAAGACACATTGTAAATTACACTAAAGAGGTACCCTTCTTCCCCACTCCTATCCTGGGCTGCAATGCAACCTAAAAAACAATGTTTTAGGGAACTGGGTGGAATTAAAAATAGGGGTAAGAGAAACTGGTCTGTATTTCCAAGGTCCTAGTTTATTTAGCCTTTGATCTTAGAAACCACATCAT